CTAGAAAACACTTGGGCATTGAATTTCAATGGTCCAGACAAGGTGATGAAATATTATTATTAAATAATAACCTTTACTTTTCTATACTCCATATCAAAACTCAAGACAAATTTTGTCTCGATTTTCTTTTTTGTGTATTTTCTTTACCATTTCACCTTCCAAAGCCTTTTCCCCAGAAAAGTCCCATCATCCTCACTCTGTGATGAAGGCGTTCCCATGAACAGCTGACGTGATTCGCTGTGCTGGGGTCACCTGACTGGAGGCGTGTTTCTGTTTCAGGTCGAGGCCAAGCTGCAGGTGGACCTGCTGCTGGAGGGGCTGCCAGACCGGTATGTTGCCCTTTGTTTTTGTTAAATAAACAGTGCCTCTTGTGTAGTGCAGTGTTTCCCAGTGTGGTCCTTGGGGACCCCCAGACAGTCTACATTTTTGCTCCCTCGCAGTTCCCTGCCAGACAGCCCACATTTTTGCTCCCTGCGGGAACTGGGAAGGAGCAAAAACATGAACTGTCTGGGGGTCCTTGAGGACTGGTTTGAAAAATATCGGTTTAGTGTTTTGAACCAGGCTGGATTTAGTGGTGCGTTCCATTTGCCCTCTGAACTCGGATTCCGAGTCGGAGTCCGAGTTTTGAAGCCGGAAGTGACGACATGCACGCTCCCGTTTCCAAATGGAATGCACTACTAGACCCCATGTGGTCTGAGAGAGGAGTGTGCCACCTGCTGGCACTAAAGTGTAGTGTTTTGTCTGTTTGTTAGTTGTAATCACTTTGTATCACCAAGCATATAGATTAGGAGTATCCTGATAATGGTACTCTGATCTGATCCCATCCATTCAATATTTATATCATTTCCGTGTCCCGATTCGATCTCTGAATAAACATGCAAATATACATGCACATACAGTAGGTCAGTGTATTCTTCATTTGAGTAAACGTCAGTTTTGCAGTATTGTTCTTCGTGATGTTTCTTCTAGTGCCTAATTAGAATACTTGTATTAAATGACGTTTTGTTCTGCTCTCCTTTCGAATGGATGGCATTGCATGTAGCTGTTGGGCTACTTTGAGTTTCTCTTTTAAAGAATTTCCTCACAGCTGACATCTCCATAGTTTGTAGTTTCAAGCCACATGCCTGAGGCTCACTGTAGCGCGTGACGGAGCCTGACAATGTCTCACAGTCTGCGCAACTGACGTAAACGAAGCGGATGTGGTCTTTGATATCGGCTCGGGATATCACTGATATAGGCAGCAATATACTAGGAAACTGGTAAAAATACTGGTACACATTAACATGGTGATTAAGTTTTACACATAGATACCATGTGGTCTTAAAAATGAATCTGTATGAACCATTGTGTTTAGTCATATTCCCAGCAATTGCATATATGTTGGACATTTGAAGGCTCGTGTACTATTTTATTTTAGATGTTTGTGTGTTTCATGCCTCCTGTAAAGCTGATGCTCTTGCTGCCTGTCCTTGTAGAACATCCCCCCACGAGCGGGGGTTATCAGCGTGACCCCCCAAGCCCGCCCACCTCCCCCGGCTCACCCCGGGGCTCCCAGGCCTGTCCCAGAGGTGCACCCAGGGGCCCCCAGACCGATGGCAGAGACGCACCCTGGAGCGCCGAGGGCCACCCCAGAGCCGCCGGGTAAGTGGGTCGGGTCCGGTCGGGTCCCCAGGGAGGACGCCTTCCTTCAGTGGCCGTCCATGTAGTGAACACATTGCCTGTCCACGCACCTCGCCGCATTACAGGGCAGCCGGCTCAGATCCAAGCCATCTGCGTGCTTGCATGTGGTATCAAAATCTGATAACACCACGCTACAAATGATATCCTTCAGTGTTTAACTCAATGGCATATATTTACTAGAAATGACAGCCAAGTTTCCAGCTGTGGGCCAATGGACGTAGAGCGACGTCATTCCATCCAGTTTTGTATGTTTACAGTGTGACACAGTTTGTCATACAAATGAGACAACCTACAGTTATAATTATTAGTTTACAGCTGGAATATGATTTAGAAATCATTAGAACATTTAGACATTGCATAAAACCACATTTGAAGACTGTCTGCATAAATTTTGGCCATGGGAAATAATGTTAGTATGGTAGATCTCCTGTGATAGAATTTCAAAAAATTACCAGAACAAGGGGCCATATCAATATAAATGTATGTAGGTGTCTGGACCATTGTTGTTGAGGTATTTGTTGGTTTTAGGAGTCGTGTGGTCACGTATTTGATTTTTAAATTTTTTTATTTTAGTGATTTTCATTTTGCGAGTTAGTCTAATGCATGTTCTTGTTTTATCTAATGTTAATTATTAAGTTGGGCATAATTGCCGATTATATGTGCATTCGCCCCGCTTGATTCTGCATGCGAACACGAATTGGCTTTAAGAACTTAATTTCGAATGTATCGGCATATTCAAGGAAAACTTGATAGATTTGAAATAGCATGTCGTAAAATGAAGTTTGATAGAGTATCATTTCATAAAAAAATATATTTTGTAATTAAATGTGTCTGCTAATGTATTAAGTCAGGATTGAAGGTGTTGCATTTTTATTGCCTAAATTCATACCATATGGCAAATTAAAGCCAGTGTACTGGATGAATACTACTCTGAAGATTGCTTTTCCACAGTGTGTATGTATAAATGTACATGTTTACCTGTTTTGACTTCCCACAGTGAGACCACAGATGGCCCCGCCCCTACAGCCTCAGATGGCCCCGCCCCTACAGCCTCAGATGGCTCCGCCCCTGCAGCCACAGTTGGCTCCGCCCTTGCAGCCACAGATGGCAGCCCCACTGCAGCCGCAGCCTGCAGCAGCCCCTCAGGCCCCTCCCCCTCAAGCCTCAGCAAGCTTGGGTTCCCCAAAGCCACCTCCCCGGAGCCGCTCTGCCCATAACCTGCCTCCTCCCTCCTCTCAGGTTAGTCATCTGCTCCTTCCATCCCCTCCACAATCCCCCCCCACCCCCATTAGCAAACAGCACAGGAAATGGGAAGGACTTTCTCGATCATGGAGCGAGGACTACCAGCATCTCTCCATGAGTCTTAGTCAGGCCTGATCCCTAAGAGCAGTGTTTCCCAATCCAGTCCTCAGGGACCCACAGTCGATTCATGTTTTTGCTCCCTCCAAGGGGTGGGAGGGAGCAAAAGCGCGGACTGTCTGTGGGTCCCCAAGGACCGGATGGGGAAGCACCGGCTTGGAGAAATTAAGTGCAATTCGTTGAAAGGACCCAAAACACACAATTTCTGTCTCGTTTCTTGCCTTTGTACTCATTTTCCCCGAAACCAATGGACAGATAAGTGACGCTTCTGCAGCACACTTCCTGTGAGATGTGGCACTTGCACACTAGCCTCTTCTGTCTGACTTTTATCTCTCTTCTTACCCCCTCTTTTCTCTCGCAAGCAGGACCAATCCTCAGGGTGACAGGTATTTAAGAGCATTTTAGCTTCAGATCATTAGCACCTTACGACTTCTCTCCATATGTGGAAATAACCTGCGTTTTTGTTTTTGTCCTTCTTTTTACATCATTTAAGCATCCACACTAGTTTTGCATCTTTTTCCACTCAATTTTTGGTGATAACTTCACATTTAAACTTTTTATTTCAAGACATCTATATACCCCTGATATTCAATTAAAACATGAACTCTCTCAAATATTTGTCTTTTCCTTAAAACAAAAAATGCTTTATTATATAACTAGGTAACCACGAAATGTTCACCATTTTTCATAACATTGATGAGGAATTTCAAGTAACTTGCTTATTAAAGGAGTTGAGTTAATCATTTCATAGTTCATGGTGGAATTTTACATATTTTATTTAGACATTTTTAATCCTGAAATTTAAATAGTTTGTGCCAGTCATGGCAGAAAAAGACGTGTATTACTGATTGCCATTGGTTCACCTTCTCCTGCTGAAAATGCCATTATTGATGTTTCATATCTTCCCCCCCCCCAATTCAGATCAATGGGATGAATGGAATTCAGAAAGAAGCACAATCAAAGCCCGACCCCTTTGAGAGTCTCACCCTCGGCCTGTTCCCCTCCACGCCCACTTCCTGGTCCAGCACGCAGTCCCTGACGAGAAGTTGCTCTCTGCTCAGCAGCCCCACCCCAGCCTCTCTGGCCCCGCCTGGCTCTTGCACCCTGCAGCCAACGTCACAGTCCTCCCTGCAGGATTTGCCAGGTTGGCCTTCCTCTCTCACACCCTCCCGCAGTCGATCCCAGGAGATTCTGCGTACGTCTCCCAACCCCTTCCTATCCGACATCCAGTCAGGAAGCACTAATCCCTTCACCAGCCAAATGTCCGCAACGCAACGCCGTTCCCTCACACCCGACTTCCACTCCCAGCAGCAAGCAATGGCCTCAAAGTCGCTTCTCCTCCAACCAACCACATGCCCCATCCCCTCCAAGGTCTCCACGGTGGTATCCCCTTCAGCTGCAGAAGACAGCACCCAAGAGTGGGTCAAGTTTGACGACGACTCTGATTTCCCCGCTCCAGTGAGGACTCCACCAATGGCAACGCAAACAACTCTCCCCACCTTGACTGGAACCAGCACCATCTCTGGGCCCCCTAACCCACAAGCCCTGTTCCCCGGCTCTGGGTTTGACCTGTGCACAGAGCCTCCCTCCTCTACATTCCCAGCCATCCCCCCTCCCATTCCTGCAAGGACTAAATCTGGAAACCCTCAGCCCTCCTTGAGACTAGAAAGCAGCTTTCTAGTATCTAAGGAGATCACTGAAGGACAACAGTTTTGAAATTCATTGATCTAGGAGCTGCATGTCGTATAACTGAATAGTGACAAGTATGCGTCTGTTTAAACTCATGTACGGTTTGAATAAACTGTATCATACACAGTTAAAGGACTGTACGATCATTGAATTAGGTCTATTTGAGTGCAACATGGGTTCAAATGCAGACGGACCAGGAGCTTTTCCAGTTTCTTTTTTTCGTTTGTTGCAGTGCGAAGGTGACAGTGGTTTTAGTGATTCACCAAAGCCTCAAACTTCATTAATTCTGACTGGAATCCTGCCTGTATTGCTTAGATGCACATTGGTGTGTCACTATATGTATATACATATCCATTTTTTTGTTGTTTAATTTGTGCAATATTCAAGACATGCGTGTCTGCACATTGGCAACTGGCACGCTTCTGAATACAAGCGTCTGAATGTCCATGCAGTTTGTATTTTTATTATTCTTTATTTTTTGCTTCAGGAAAGATGCACCCCATGCAGGAAAAGTGTGTCACTTAGCGAGGAGGTTTTTAATAATGTATTGGCAATGTACTCTGGAGAGCAATCTGTGTGTTTGTTTATTTATAAGTGACCACTAAGGTGTGACTCCTCTCCCCAGAAGTCACAGGACACCTTTGACCTCTGACTTGCTGCCCCCCTCTGTGTTCCTCTGTCCTCGCCCCAGTACACCCCAGTTTCTCTTCCTGGTTTTCGCATCCTATCGCCTGAATGTATGCAGCCCAGTGTATATTAACCGCAGTGTCGTTCCCGGTACCGCCAATGGTCTTAATGTGCGACCTCGCATTTTAGGTAGTGACCTCGCTTTGCTGCAGCCTCCTGCATCCACAATTTTCAAGCTCATCTGGGTAATACAGTAAATTACATAGAGGTAGGGTTTATGTATATTGTGGAACAATGTGTAAACTGGAAAGTAGATATGTTGAAAATCTGAACACATATCTAAAAAAGGAAAATTATATATATATATACTTATATAAATGTATATTTACACAGATGTATGTATTTACACTATATATAAATATATATATACATATAAAAATATATACACACCCTGATTTTTGCACTGACTGGTGTTCTTTGGGCTTTTAATAGGTGGTATGAGGCTCAAAGGTGGTGATGAGGTAAATAACTTATATTCCAGGGGTGTGTGTATCTGCTGTGCAGTAAAAATAAATCTTCATTTACTACATAGCTGTAGGTACTTAATTCGATCCAAAGCCAGAAAGATTTACTGATTTATATCCAGTCAATGTGCTATGTCTGTTTATGTGGTCTGAATATCAAGCTGGAAAAGCGGAGTATAGTGACTATACTTTTGTAAGTAAAAGATGACCTTTTATGCTTTTAAAAAGTGTCTAACTTGAGTTGTTTCAAAAAATGAGCTTTATTTTGGAAGGGGAAACATTCTTCCTGAGGTTTACTTACTGTACAGTAGTGTGCTTTGTGGTGTATCTGCTGATTTTGCAGTCTTGTTTTTATTTTACCTTGGCTCAGTGGTGGATTAAGGATGAGCACATTTTGGGGCTGCAGTGCCCCCCCCACAAATGTTATTGAAGTGGCAAGAATCGTGAAGTAGGGGCTCTGTGTTACATGTCAGTCTTGTTGGGTGTGTTTAGGAACTACAGCTGATAACAGCAAAGTCTTATCAGCGTTTCAGGAATTTCTCATTGAATCATTGTCATAGAAACCATGTATACAGGAAGTTCCCCTACATCTGTGCTACGTGCTGTGAGCTTTATTCTCTGGTGTGTGTTTCCTGGCAGTTGTCCAAAGGCATTTTTTCATCATTTTTTGCTCAGTCTACCTTCTGTGTTTTGAGAAGTGCTGTAGTAACCGTTACAAACCCTCCCCCATCTCCCCCCCCCACCCCC